TACCAAAGTCAACGCTAGCGCTGCCCAGGCCTAAGCCTAGTATCCCATCTGCTTTTCCGAAATCCCCGGCTTGCTCATCGGAACAAAGGAAAACAAATCCAGGAATCTCATCCTCGTGCTCTATGGAAACCGTATCGGCCACAAAAAATCCAATTGCGTAGGAATGGTCCAAATAGGGTTGAGTATAAGTACACAACGGATAACACGGAGCATTTGAGGAAGTTGAGGAAGAAGAAGGATAATACAGCGACTCGTTGTGTTGTTGTGGACAAGAAGACCCTGTACAACGTTGGCACCGTACCCAGGTTATGTAACTGCCAGTGTCCAAAGCCAAATTAAAGTATTTTGCGGGTGTGCCAAAACCAACTTCCACCAAATAATTGGCAGCACCTATTGAATCATTTAGAAGATCAAGTTCCGTCACCGCTTCCTCTTTGCCTTTCTTTTTTCCACCGCCTGTACGCCTTCTCCCTCCCCCTTTCTTTTTCCCGCCACCTGTACGCCTTTTGTGTGACCTAGAATTCAAAACATGAACCCTGTGTTCATCTTGGACCAGGATCTGACTTGAAGTGGCTGCTGTTCTGTTCAGGCCGAATGGTGAGCAGGGTCCATATTTATGGACTACCCGCAAACCAGTCTCAGGACCTAAAGAAAAGGGGACGTTATTCTATATATGCTAATATAATAATCTTAATGCTCAAAGATGAATAGTAAAGATGAACATCGATAATATTTTATATTTTATATTTGAGATGAAGTTATAAAATTTTGAGATCGAAAATAAATTATGAGAATAAAATACAAAAAATGTATAAAATGTATGAGCATTTTAAGTTTTTATGGGGCGATTGTCCCATCCACCGAGAGTAGGGTAAATTACCTGAGCAGATGGATGGAATAGTGTGTGACTTGCTTTTTTCCGCCACAATAGCACCATAACCAAATGGCTTATTAAAAGAGGAAAAAAGGATATAGCAGAAGAAAATATGAGCGATGGCCATCAACGCAGAGGAACCATTCATATTTCTTATGACTGCACCTCTATTTGCTTGTGTACAATAATATCTTATTTTACTAACAGGTATTTATAGAATGAGAGATCAAATGAAATCTCCACCAGACCAAAAGATTCAAAAAAAATGGGACAACTACTTAAAAGCACGCGGAAGACTTTGAGGCCCAAAAGATCCAAGTTTTGGTGTAGAAGAAAAAACAATCAATCTCTTTACAAGTCTCCTCTCGTCTTTGTTAATATTACACGGCCAAATCATGTCACAATTCAATTCAAAAAAATTTGTTGTACGTTATATTTCAGCCACTCGAACATTGTTAATATACTGTGACCGTCTTGTCCTTTGATTCTGCCCCTTGAACCACGTCTAGCTGAAATGGACCTGACGTTCCATTATCAATTTGTTGCTTGATTTTTCCGAACCCAAACACTAAGGTAGACCACCACTGAGAATTGACTAAAGGAATTTTACAACATGAGTAAGCTGCACGTCAAGAACTGCTCTCGTACTTAATATTATAATTAATTATTCCAGGTTAGTTTTATACTTTCCTTCCCTCTGTTAATGGGGAATTCAACGTATATTTTTTTGATTGCAAAATTATCATGGAGGATTAAAATGGAAATTTTTAAAGGTTAATGGTTTAAATATTTTTTTTAAATTCAATAATATTGGTATAGTTTACCAAGGAAAATGAACTCTATATTTGATTGGCAATAGGGTGTGTTTTTTTACACAATGAATACAGAGAAGGAAGCAAAGGAGCTAAGTGAAGAGATATTTATTTGTAAGATATCAAAATATTTATCTTTTTTTATCTCGAAGATGACAAATTAAAAATTATATATAAATAAATTTTATTTTCTTATTTTAAAATCATATCAGTTATGATATTTAATATCATAAATTTATTGACATTTTATGTTCGATGTTATGAGAACAATGGTGGTTGACAAAAATCTTATCCGGAGAGGTCTTTGAATACTTGGATTACCCAAAAAATATAAATATTGCGCTATTTTCAAAATCGTATATGTTTAGAGTTTGCACGATTACTTAAGTCACAAAGTCATACCGTTAAAGCATCATGATCGAACTCTCATTCATATAAAATTACCGAAAGATAAGTTTATTCGTATTCTTTGTCCAACGACCTTATTATGAATATTACTCTCGCAAGATATTTATGATCTTTTAAGTTTTATCTACCTGATTTAACCACTTTTATCTCAATATTATATTATAAATCATATGAAGAAAATGATTATTACACAAAATAGTAATTAAATCATTCATCCTATATGAATGATTACTAAACCTGCTTCATTTTCATAAGTTATTCTTTTAATCAATCTCTAGTTTCATATCTATAAATATAGTTATTATTTATGAGTTACATTCTTAACAAATTAACCATCCGCATATATTTTTAAGATGTATCAGTTCTTAATATATTAAAGCACATAAATAATATCTGCATAGTTTTTATATATATGTTTTGAACATTATAAAAAAATTAATTTATTTTTTATTCAGTCCAACATGTAGATAACCAAATATATATCTTTATTTATCAAGAGATTGTTATATCATTGGGAATTCCATTTAAGATGCAAAATTAGCAATGCGGGCAAGATTTGCACACTGTTAATGTGAGGAGAGCCGTCAGTATCTTCTCAATGCATGAGAGAAACAATGCCCCGGAATTCAATAACAATATGTAATCAGTGTTCAGTGAAGATTCAAATATTAATAACAGGAAAGAATTGTGTTAAAACATTTAAATCCAATCCATCCATGTTCCGTTTAAGAAACTGTAATTTTTTTTCCATCTACGAAAATCAGAGCCCATCTTATCATCTACAACACATCAATCCCCTCCAAAGAGGGACCCGAATTCTCGTAACGTGAAAGGAAAGAAAGAACGAAGAAAATTTTATAATTAACCTCTGTCGCATCATTTGTCATTATCATCACCACCCCCGGATTTACGTACTCCGATTTCATTGCCTGTCGTTGTTTGAATCGACGGCGTTACTGCATTAACCTTCGTTGCATTTGCATAATTTGTCATCATCGTCGCCGTCATAGGATGCATGGTGATTAACCTTAGCGGATCCTATTGCACGGCCGGCCGCCGCTGTCTCAATCGGGGACGTACCTGAGTCAATCGCAGTCGCAGATGACATCTCCATCCTACAAACCCTAACCGCACCAATTAATTTTTCCGGCAACTCATCCTCGGCCTGTCCTTCCACCACAAATCCCATATCGATTATTACACTCGTCGCGTATCCCAATGCAAGGTGTAAAATCGTGCTGGCAATCGCCGAGCTGGCAATGTCAACATCGATTTCCAAGTAATTAGCTCCTCTATGATAATTACACGTCAAAGCTTTACCTATCAAGCACGCCGCATAGTTGCCCACCGTTCTTTTGACGACCCACGGTCCCTCAACAATCCGGTTAACCATCTTGAACCGTTGATTCTTGAAGGCATCGTCGGCATGAAGGAACCGATAAAATAACGTATTGGGAGGGATAGGATCCTCCGTGGCAAAATAAAAAACAGCGCTATAATTATCTTTACTTGGGACCTGGATATTGACTGCAAAAACGAAGGATTTCATAGATTCGCCTTCGGATTGAGCATTTTTAAGGGCTTGAGAAACACGGTTATCGGGACGGGAGAGTATGTTTTCGAGCTTGGAAGTGGACTTGAGCCAGTCCATACCGATGGGAGACAGTAAGTAATCGCCGGCGGGACATTTTTGACGTTTGGTCAAGTAGGTTTTAGAACGGAGAAAGAAGAGATCACCTGGAGGAGAGGCCCAACCGTTGGTTCCGTTTTTCAAGGTCAACTTGTGGCAAGCCACCACCGCCGATAGACTCGGTCATCCAATCAGGAATCGACGTAGTATCATCCGTTGATCGGGATCTAGGGTATTCGATGTCGGATTCCTCGGCGGAGCCCTGGTGATTTTCGGTGGTCGGGCACATTATAATTTTCTTTTTTAATTTAAAGAAAGACGAAGAAAAAGAACTCTTCTTCTCGCCGTTCTTTCACCCGCCTTTTTAATAGGAAGACAAAGTTGAGGCAGAGATCAAAAAGGTTGTTTTTTTATTTGTTATATTTTGGAGTAGAGTCGGTTGTAATATAAGGAGGGATGATGGGAGAGGCGTGATCAAAAGTTGAAGAGAAAGGGCCCCTGGATTTCTCCAAAAACTACGATAGTGCCACTTTATTTATTACGGGGGCAGGGCACCTCAGAGGCGGAAAATATTTTTTATTAATTAAAATAATCGGCGGTTCTCATTTTTTATTATATGTTAAATTTAATTAGGTTAATATTTATGATGGTTATTAACGATATATAATTTTTTTATAAAATAAATATGTTTATTTTTAAAAGGTAAACATTCTTGGGATTTAATTTTAATTTTAATTACAAATTTATTTATTTTGGTATAATTGAGTATTTAAATTTTATTTGATACAATTAAATATTTTATATTTTTAAATATTCAATTGATATTAATTTATACTTATAATTTTAATATTATTTATTTAAATAAATAATATAAATTAAACACGAAAATTTTAAATTTAAACATATGTAATTTTAAAAAATATTGAACAGTTAATTACACAAAAAATAAAATTTAAATATTTAATAATATCAGCTTGTCGCTAACCTTAATAACAAGTTAAAATATGTGTGAATAAAATATAATAATTTGCATGATTATAATATAGTTTTTAATAATTACTAATAAAATGAAATTTTAATTTAATAATTATTTATATAATTTTCCATAAAATAAAGTGTACTATTACTTTTCCTAAAAAATTAACTGTAACTCTATCATGTGGGCCTCGGGTGATAATCCAGCCGAATCTAAATCCATTATAATGAGAGTGGGCCGACCTCTCTTCGAGTCTAATCCATTTTTTATGTTGAAACCGGAGAATCTAGTGTCGGAAGCCAAAATTTCCCGCAGTCGGCAGCCATATTTGTTTCGCAAGCCAGCCCCGGATCACACGGTTCCTTCAATGATTCATTTTCACGAACGAATAGTGTTCACTGGTTAAAGCTTACTATGGGTGCCTGACCTATTTTCCACTTATTTATTTTGATTGACTCAATGAGGCATGCCTTCGCCACTCTCAACCTTCATCGCCGTCTCTTCACCGGTTAGCGGTGTTATTCTTTCTGTTATTCTTATTTTATCCACTATTCATTCCGTCTGCATCAGTATATACAATAATTTGATTTGAAGTCTCTTCCGAGCTTAATTTCAATTGATGTTAGTACTTAGTATTACAATGTACTTTGTTTCTAGGAAAAACATAATTATGAAGCTCCTATTATAGCATCAAGTTGGGCATTTTCGGAACTTCCCACTGTTCTGATATTTGGTTGGATCGTTATTGTTTCTAACTGGAGTAAAGAGGACATTTTACTCTGTTTATTTAGTTATATATTATTGCAATTTGTCTTTGCGACCTTACTGGGGTGTAATTTTTACGTTTACGTTAGTTCAACATTACCTGTTGCAGCAGTACACCATGATAGACCTGTTGGATCTATCTTGCGTCGTTCCATTTCTCTGCAAGTTCACATGGAAATTGGAACTTCAAGGACACCGGACACTAGGCACCCGTCATACTTGTTGCAACGAAATGTGTAAGTGCATGGATATTTACCACTTACTTTGATGCCTGGAATTGCATTCAGCAAGTGCTAATGATTAAATAAATTGGTGTTGTGAATGTGGAGCTTCTTTAGCGCTTTGGTGTAAGTCTTTTGTGCAGGTTTTTTGAGGGTTTTGTCAGTGTGCATGGGGAGAGGCCTTCTTCCGAGTATGCAAAGTTGAGGAAAGAATCACTGGAAAGTGAATTTGGGCATATAGTTGGAACACGGCTCAAAAAGTGTCTCTGCTGTCTATCGATTTGGTCCATTTTTGGCGTTGTATAGAGCAGTGATTGTTTCTTTTCATGTATTAAAGTTGACCCTTTGGCAATTCCTTTTTAGGGACATTAATAAGCGTGCTTCCAAGGTATAGTAAGAATTAGATTCTTAAACTTGTTTTGTTGAATAAATTGAATTGTTTCTGTTATTCATTGATGCATACATATGCACTATATATGGAGCATCTAAAATACTAGACCTAGGCATAGCCGCATAGTCTGGCAAACTTTATGCTACATGTTTTAAAAGTTGCAATTTCATGTTATTTTAAGAATAAGCCTGTTATCTTTTGGACAGTACAACCTTATTGCAACTCGTACAATTTCAGTTTCGGGAGACACTAATTCGCTTGGGTCCTTTTTATGTTAAGGCAAGCTACTTTATCTTTGCTTTATCATTTTCTGAATAACTTTTATTAGGTTGTTTATTGGGCTTTGTTTGTTCTAGACTTCTAGCTTCACTTTACCAGAGTTTGCAAAATGTAGCAAACCTGACTGTTCAATACTGCCCTTTTGTGAAGTTGAAACCAATTGCATGAAATTTTCAATATGAATCTGACCTCTGAATATTGATGTCAACTTCTTTTTGCATTTTACTACTGGAAGAAGAAATAAGTAGCAAAGAAACAAAGTCTTACCCATTTTATATCTTAATCCTCCCGGGTAGAACTTAAATATTGGCCTACTTTATTTGGGTATACAGCTTGGGCAGGCTCTGAGCACTAGACCAGATATATTGCACCTGTTTATTGCCAAGAACTTGCTAAGTTACAGGTACACAACCATCTCTGCTCCTATAATTAGGACTCATATCGAGATCTGTTACTTATTGACATTGGCATTGATCTTCGTTCTTTTGTTAATGCCAGGATCAGATTCCCCCATTTCCCACCCATGTCGCAATAAAATCTATTGAAAATGAACTGGGTACCCCAATTTCAGAAATATTTGCTGATATAAGCCCTGAACCTATTGCAGCTGCATCTATAGGACAGGTGTATAAAGGTCAGACAACCATTTCCGAAAACGGAAAACAATATATTTTGCTTAGCTTTCCATCATATCATTTTCTCATGTCAAAAGCATTACAGCTTTCTAATAGCGCTTTTTTCAGTACAACACTTTTGAGAATTGTAAAGTTGAATGTTTGCTTCATTGCTTTAAGTCTTGCAGCTCACCTTCTTTCTGGAGAACTTGTAGCTGTTAAAGTACAGAGGCCTGGTATGTCACTCTTGTTGACCCTTGATGCATTGTTATTCCATATGATCGGTGGTCAATTAAAGCGATTTGCAAAAGCCCGGAAAGATTTGTTAGTTGCTGTAAATGAAGTGGTGAGTTCTCCATGTTGAGTGCGTAGATGTTCCAATAATGTGTACGTTTATTTTATAATCAGTTATTATATGCCTTTGTAAATAATATGCACAGGTTTTGATCTTCGCAATAGAGGTGCCTAGCATCTGGATTTTATGACTTGCTATTTTGTGTACAATGCAGCTCATATTATTCATTTTCATATTGTTTCTGTATAGTACCTGCATTTGCACTATCATCTTTTCATTAATGAAATTGTACATGCTTATGGACATCTTCAGGTCTCTCTTAAATGAACAGGTAAGACACATGTTTGATGAAATCGATTACATCTTGGAGGCAAGAAATGCTGAACGCTTTGCCTCTCTTTATGGTGACTGTCCTAGTAAGTATTATATAGTTGTGTGTGGACCCTAGGGTTCATGTTAAGTAATTTTAAAGTGATCAAATGATATGGAATATATTGAATTGTTTAGGCTTCTTCAAGAGTAGAACTATTAAAGGGGTTAACTTGTGACTCTTGTCCTGGCATCATCTTTTGTGTGTCATTGGTTGTTTTAATCTGATTTAGTATTCCGAGGAGTCAACTTCACAGCTTCACTTTAAAGGAAGGAAAAGTTTTTAAGGGTAGATGTTGGGATTATAGTGAAAAAATGTTATATGATATTGCGTGAAACTGTTCCCACAGCATGCTTTTGTATTTGATCCCGTTAGTATAACCTTTTGTTGCACTTTGTCCTAATGATTTATAAGTGGTTATTTATATCTATACAAATTCCTTATGAGTACAGGCCATGGTCAAATTTTTGATCAAAAATGATAAAGATGGGACTGCCAACAAAACCAAAATTGCGAAGGGAATAAAAATGTCTAAAATATATTGGGACCTGACACGAAAAGCTGTGCTTACAATGGGAATAAAAATGTCTAAAATATGATATTGCTCACAATCTACAACGTTGTTATCAACCTCAAAATTTAATGGTTCCACCACAATTTCATCACTAAGAAAATTTTATTTCACCACATTTCCAATACCAAACAAAATATCAAACACAATCTCAAAACCCACAACCTTTCCTTAATCCAAATCCCAATTAACTTTCAACACCAAATTCTGGTTTTCGTATTGACCAGTTAGACGATGATGAGCCAACAGAAAAAATTGTGAGTACTAGTCAGTATTCGAAATTTGATCTTGGTCAATACCCGAACTTTGATCTTGGTCAATACTCGGATTTTGATGATGTTTTAGAAGAAGAAACAAACCATGCGTGTAATGATTTTGATATTGGTCAATACCCGAATTTTGATTATGAAACAGCCGCTGCCGAGGAAGATATTGTTGATAATAATGAGGAGGAAGTTACGATTGTGAATGAACATGTTGAACATCCATTCTGTAATTCATATAACCCTAAAGAAGAAGAAGAATAAGCCCCCGAAGAAAAGAAAAAGAAGAAAATGCCACGGGAGTATAATTGGAATATGCCAGAATTATATCAGATACCGTAAGAAGAGTTGGTAAAGATAACATTTGATTGTTACACAAAAGTTATTCGTATCAAGAAAGATGATTGTTTTGATACAAAGGAAGACTTTAAGATAGCTTTGTATATGAAATGTGTGGAAGAAGGCTATCAACTAAAAGTAACAAATCAAGCAAAGATCGTTTCGAAACAAAGTGTATGATTGACAAAAACTGTACGTGGCGTATGATTGTAAAGAGGATAAAAGATTGTGAAATGTTTCAAGTTAGGACTTTTATTGATAAACATACATGTTCAAGAACCCAAGTTTTTCCTCACCATAGGCATACAAACAAAAAGGTGTTGGGTGGTTTTCTGGCTGAGTTAATGTTTTTGAATGGCAGGGTTTATCGGGGACATGAAATTATGACTGACATGAATGCTTAGTTCAAGATTAATATATCATATTCTCAAGCTTGGAGAGCCAAATGTTATGCATTGGAATTATTGAGGGGGTTGCCAGAAGCATCGTTTTCCCAACTGCCGGCTTATTGTCACAATTTAAAGCTGAAAAATCCTGGGTCAGTAACTCATATCAAAATAGATAGAGATGGACGCTTTGAGTTGATGTTTATCGCCATTGGTGATGCGGTTAGTGAATCAATATAATTTTGTTGACTCATTTTTGTTAGTTACATGCATTTCACATTTAAAAGATTATATTTCTTGTGTATATTATTTTGTAGATTCGTTCGTTTATTACTTGCATGCACCAGTTATTATAGTTGACGGAGCATATTTGAAAGGTCGATACCTTGGAGTAAACTTATTAGCAGTAGCCATGGATGCTAACAATGTGATACTGCCAATAGCTTATGGGGTTGGCAAATCTGAAACCTCTGATTCATGGACATGGTTTATGGGGTATCTTAGGGATTGCATAGGTCCTATTAGCAATCTGACAATCATATCCGATAGGGCAAACTCAATTGACAGCGCTGTTAGAAGGTGTTTCCCATATGCTTTTCATGGACTTTGTGGTGTTCATTTGTACAGAAATCTAAAATCAATGTATGCTGATATAAAAAATCACAAATGGACATACTGGAAGGCTGTAAAAGCTTATCAGGAAGTGGATTTTAATAAGCATATAAATTGTTTAAGACGTGTTTTGCCTCAATGTGCTCAAACACTAGAAGATGGCGGGTTTGAAAGATGGTCAAGAGTACATCAACTTGGAGCAAGATATGGTTTCATGACGTCTAATAGTGCAGAATTAATCAACGCTCTAAGTCGTCATTCCCGAAAATTACCCATTACTATGTTAATGGAGTTTTTTCGAGCCTCTATTCAACAGTGGTACTACAAGAAAAGAAACCATGCAAGTATTATTTCTTTAAATTCGTAACTTATCATATTTAATAGATTTTACTAAGTATTATTTATTTAAATTTACAGGAACATTGGAACGTCGTGTTACACCATGGACTGAAAAAAAGATAACGAAACGTGTTGTGAAGTCAACGTCATGGAGAGTTGAACCTTGTTCAAACACTTTGTTTGAAGTATTGGATAATAACTTAAATGGGCTTGTCGATCTAAATGCAAAGACGTGTAGTTGTATGAAATGGCAAACATCTGGTTATCCGTGTGGCCATGTTATAAAAGTTGCTCTTCATCTAAACCAAGATGATTCAAGCGCATACGCTATGGATTGCTACACTACATAAGTATATCGACAGACTTATGCCGAGATTGTCTACCCTATTCCATATCCTTCTGAGTGGGACATACCAGATAACTTACAAATAATTTTGCCATCAGTCATGGACAGAAGGCTACCTGGCCGACCAAAAAATCACGATCGTATACCGTCTAAGGGTGAAGAGAAGAGGATATCGACATGTAGTTGGTGCAAGGAAATTAGTCATACAAGGTTGACATGTGGATCACCAGTGCCATCACAATCATCTTTTCCTCTACCAAAATATGGATCCTCATCACAATCACTATTAACTTAGGTGATTTTTAAATGCAAATGTTGTATTATGTGTATTTTATGTGTGAATGCATACATTTTCAGTTAGACATGCATTAGTAACTTGAGTTTGAACATTGCTATGATCTGTTCAGTTTATCACTTATCAGATTGTTGTATGTTATCTTTTTTAAGGTGTTTTCCTTGAATTCGCAACGCGAAAGTCAAATTCGCGTTGCGATTGTTGCGAAAGTCAAATTCGCATTGCGATTGTTGCGAAAGTCAAATTCGCAACGCAAAAATAAAAATCGCAACGCGAATTTGACTTTCGCTTTGCGAATTTCATTTTCTTAAAGGTGGTGTACCTTCAACAGGTCTTTTTTGCCTTCAACATAATGCAATTTGAAATTAAACAACAAATCAATTAAACAAAAAAAAAATTCTTATTTACTCTTGACAGCACATTGATACATCAATTAGCCCCAAACAGTACATCCAAATGCTCCTAACAATAGGGAGCTTATATCCAAATACATCAATTTCACGCAGCTCACTTGAAGGATTAACCTGCAGAAACGTTATGGCCATGAGATTTTTTACACATCTAAAACCAACAAATATAAGCTGAAATTATTGAATTCTAGATACTTATCCAAACATTTTCAAACCAACAAAGAGTATATATGTTAACAACACTTGCTCAAACTTGCCAATAACAAATGATTGTTTATGCACACTTTCAACACGCGGATGCAGGTAGGCAACGTCTCGCATATATCTCTCTAGCCATAAAATACCGAAACCACAACCCTAATGCACCTCTATCTCTATCTATGGGAGGTAGAAACTGTTTACCTCCTCTCGTCATACGTTCCAAGCACATACATACAAGAGGACCACAATCCCCTCTAGCTTCCGACGTTTGTTGTGGCGCTGTCTTGTCTCTAATCATTGTAACTTTTAACTTATTTGGCTTCTTGTTTCCTGAATAAGTCCAATAATCAATCGCATCCAAGTATTTAGCCAAATGATCGCTCCATCCCCTACAAATAATATCTTTCAAACCAGACAATGATATGTAATTCAACATGTTGTCATATACTATCGTCTTCAGGGAAGGGAGCTGAAGCTCGACGAGAATCCAATGATGAGATTCCATAACAGTGATAAACACCTGCAATCATAAATAATAATTCAATTGCGTACATCAAATAAAATTTATGAACACCTTTAAATATACAAAAATAAATACTAACCTTATCGACCTCCCACCACGCAGGATAAGGATAGCTTTTCCATTACCCAACGCATATGAAGCGTCTCTCTGATCCTTCAAGTGAGCTGCGTGGAAAGACGAAGGCATAATAGTTCATCGCGTCTTTTTTATTTTCTTCAATTTTCTTATAATCAGAAGACGTGACACCCATGTATCAATATGTTGTTTTATAAAAAAAATACATATATTAGTGAATTTAATAAATTTAAAAAAATAATCAAAATCAATATAAGAAGAATATAACACTTACCCCCCATTCGAAATAGTCATTCTCTTCAACCCCTAATAAAACGCCCCACCAAGACCGCTCAAGAAACAAATGTATATTGTCGATTTTGCATATGTCAGTGTAGCACCTCTGGCTCCGCTCATGTAGATAAAAATTAAATGCGGTCTTATCCCAAAGGGTATTATCCATAATTGTGTCTGGTAGTGTTCTCATCTCGTGCTGAGGAATGGTACTGGCCGGTAACTGATACGAAAGCCAACTTTGATCTATCATATCGGGCATGAGAAGGGGTTTATCAATATGTCGACATAGTATGCCATGTGAATCGTTCTCTTGAACGGTGGGAGGGGCCTCTTGAACGATGGGAGGGGCCTCTTGAACGATGACAGGTGAATCGGGCTTCTTCTTACGCAGTCTTGGAACTATTGGGGTGAAAGGAGACGTAATGGCACGTCCACGACGTCTGATGCATGAACCCCGTCGTGTAAGAAAAACCCGACGTAAAACATCTACCTTATCGGCCGCTAAAAATAAATTAATACATAAATCAGTAAATAAATAAATAAAAAAATACCAAAAAAGGTTATTTGCATTTTTAGTATAGTATTAAACAAACTTACCTTATAGCGTAGAGTATGAACCTCATTCTGTAACGATGAAACAATCTCACGTAGAGCGACTACCTCATCACGTAAAGTAGATACCTCACCACGTAAAGCACCATTGTCATCGTGTAAAACATCTACCTTACCACATAAAGACCGTACCTCATCACGCCTTGCACCATTGTCATCACGTAAAGTAACGACCTCATCACGTAAAGCAATGACCTCATCACGTAACTCCCTTAACTCATCCCGTGGAGGTGGAGAACGGGGAGATAAATGTCGTGGCATTTTTTTCGGTCTCCTATCATGAGGTGATGGTGGAGAAGAGGCTCGATAATATGATG